AAGGGAAAATCTCTGGGAAGTACCGGTTGGACTCGTTGAATATGAATTCTTTTTTAAAATAACAATGCTGAATATTTTAAATACCAAATTAATAAGATGAGAAGAACTGGATTTAAAAACTGATGTCAAACACCTGTCAAACAACCGCATTGAAAACATAACTTATAATCCTTTTAGTCGTAATAAATAAAAAACAGTAACCAAAAATAAATATTTAAGCAGATAGAAAATTACTTACCTAAGAAATAATAACGATAATACATCTCTGCATGCTGTCATATTAACGATATTGTAATTATCATGCAAAGAAGAATTTTTTTAAACGAAAATCGTACATCGGATTGAAAAAATCCAAAAATTAAATATCTGTAATGATTGCAGATTGTAAGAATAATTTTATTTTTGGAGAAATCAATGGCGTACCATCAATGCTAAAATAAGGTGAAATTCCGTACGTCCGCGACTGGTATATACCATATTTTACCAGCTAGTATCTCAAAAGTGAAGACGTTTGACACATATGTCCATATTACCATATGAAGTTTTCTTTTTAAAATGGACACAAAAACCGCCACTCTAAATATTGACATTCAGTTAGAAAACATCCTGTATTATTCTGCAAACTTTGATATAAGTTGTCTCCTCTCTTCACCGCCCGTTGTTTGATGCTATTGGGAAGCAGAATTGGTACGCAGTGATTTTAATTTCTCTTCGATCAGTTAGTCAGTTAGTGTGTTTCGTGGATCGCATTGATTAATTATTCCATCTCATTAATGCAAGGCAAATATTAAATAGTGCTTTATGTTACAACGACAGGTAACAGAAGTACTGGAAATGCGAAAGTGATTGGCGACTGTGTTTAACGAAGCTGACATCTTAAAGTGACACTTTGCGCACATTTCATCATTGATAATTCTGTGTTTTAGAATAGGGAATAGAAAAACAATATTTCAAAACAGTTATATATACTTTACCCAGTTATGCAGTTATACACACTTCTGAAAGTTTACAAGGGTTCGAATTTTTTCTTTGATATTCGCAAATTAATAGGTAAAAATTTGTGGAGCAAACAAACTAAAATCAAAACTATCGTTAAAGTCGCATTTTAAGCTTTAACTTCATCTTCTAAATGCAAAAAGTTCAATTTAATAATACCATTAATGTCTGAGAGTTGGATAGATACAATAGAGTCTTGAACACAACTTATCATGAAAATATTCATCACGTCATCTATGGAATGCATTAGAGTGTACGAGCTTCCTAAGATTCACAAACCAGTGGTTCTCTAACCAAATCTCTAGCAAAATATCTAGCTTATAAATTGAAACACTTTACGTGGAAAACGTATAGTTTCGTACTTAATGGCTTTTAATTTATTGAACAATTAAAAATCTTTATATTAGATCCAAACGGTTCGGAAATGGTCAAATGAAATCTTCTCACCTTAAATAAAAAATGCTTATCTGGAATATATTTTTCTTGAAAGGATTAAATTTACGAACAAGTTTCAGCAACAGTTATACGTTCTCTATTATGACCAGTTATATATATATATATATATATATATATATATATATATATATATATATATATATATATATATATATATATATATATATATATATATATATATATATATATATATATATATATATATATATATGAAAACTTTTGAGAAGAAAGCTCTCGGCATTTTCCATCTAAAATCAAAACTATGGAGACATGATTACACATTTGTTATTTGATCTTATGGCCAACAATATATCCGAGATTTTCCTACCCATTTAATGTCTATTCACCCACACATACGTTTTAATTAATTAATTAATTAATAGAAAATCAGACCTAACATTGGATAATATTGGATACTTCAGTTTGCAGAAAACACGCAGACCGACACCTTAATGTATTGTGACACAGCTATCAACTCAACCCGATTCCAGTAGACCCAGAATTAAAATTCCTTACATCTGCTCTTCTTTCTAATAATTTCTACAATACAATTTTTATTTTCTTGTAGCGAGCGAGAATGGCGGACGGTTCGAGCTCCGAGATCGATGCGAATTCTCAATATTTTAAGTGTAAAATACAATTTGATGATGTGAAATCAATAATACAGTGTACTAACTGTAATCGATATTATCATGGTAAATCAAGTTGGAAGTGTGCATCGTGCTGTGATTTAGTTTTGGAGGTTAGGAATGAAACTGTAAACAAACCTGAGCGGGCAAGGAAGAGAAGTCGAACCGATGAATGTATTATTGGTCAAAATTATGTTGATGTCATAAACAATACTTTGGATTTGCTACTCAAAAACACATCGGAATTAAATGGGAAAATCGACTATTTAATAGAGGAAAATTTAAGCTTGAAACAAAAATTGCAAAAACTAAAGAGTAGTGATAGGTTAATGGAAATTACTGAAATGCAACCGGAATCTTATGCAAATGTTACCAAGATCAAGGGTACTGATAAAATATTGATTGTAAAGCAAAAGGGATCTCATGAAATAAAAAAGACGCTTCAAACTAAAATCAATCCCATCAAAATAGGAGCGGGTGTATCAATGGGGCGTACTACCAAGAATGGCGGACTAATACTGAAGTGTGGCGATGAACAAGAGATTTCGAATATTCAAGCAGAAATACAGAATAAGCTTGGTGTGGAATATGAAGTAGAAAGACTTAAATTACGTGAACATAGAATAAAAGTGGAGGGAGTTGATGAGAGTGAGTACAATGCTGAAGATAATATAATTATTGAGAAAATTATTAAACAAAATGAGGTAAAGCCAAATGATAAGGATTTGAAAATGAAAATTTTGAGAAAAACTAAAGTATTTAGTAGAAAATTTAATATCATTTTTGAGGTTGACTCACAAACATACAACATACTGGTGCTGAATCAGAGGATGAATATAGGATGGAGCCGTTGCTTGGATTATACTGATTATGGAATAATTAGATGTTCCAAGTGTTGTAAATATGGACATTAACAAAAATAATGTAAGGAAAAAATGTTCGTGGTGGTGAGCACGATTTCAAAAGTTGCAACAGTAGTGCTCCTATTAGTGCCTTTTCTGCATTTTTTCAACCTGGATGTATGGATTTTGCTGCACGTCTTGTGGTTAGATTCCTTGATGCATGTGGTATCTGCTTGTAACCGCTTTTGGATTTGCTAGCTCATGGTCTATGGGTTGGTTTTAATCATTATGTATATTAGCTAGAATTTCAAAGAAGAACTCCTTCGCTGGAGAAGATCCGAAAACCCTCGATATTTAGAACTTCTGAGATTAGTTTCTTTCGCTGGAGAAGATCCGAAAATCCTCGACATTTGGAACTTTAAAGTTTAGTCTCCTTCACTGGAGAAGATCCGACAATCCTCGACATTAGGAACTTCAAAAATCAGTCTCCTTCACTAGAGAAGATCCGAAAATCCTCGACATTTAGAACTTCAAAATTTAGTCTCCTTCCTGGAGAAGATCCGAAAATCCTCGACGGAAGTCGGCAATGGGCGAATGATCCTGGTAGTCGTGCCCAACAGTTTTTTGTGAAACGCATCATTGAATTGAATTGAACAACTGTATATTGTCTAATAGCAAATATGGAATGAAATTAAATATTGATCACGCTGCATGGGATATAAATAGATATAAATACAACGTAATAAATATATAAAATAGCAATTACACAATAATATCGAGTTAATGATCAAATGGTTTTTGATAAAGACACGGTGTTGTCGAAACAATTGTCATGTCAAAATATATAATTTCGTGAAAATCTGAACTTTTAGTTCTTATTTATTTTGATAAATGGATTTTCATCAAGTAAAAGCCACCTCAGTTCAAGAGTTGATGCTGTTTGGTTTGCTAAGTAATTTTAACTGTTTTGCATTTTGAAAAAGTAAACGGATTTTCATATACTTGTTTTCGTTTAATCGGGGCATGATTTTATAAAAAATGCTGACTTTGCGATTTACATTGACGGTACGGTATATCATTTGCCAATTTAACTGTGAGCGATCCATATCAAGTTGGTCGCACTGGATGTTCCATTGAGCCATTTGAAATTGTGCGTTCATGACATTGTTATCACTTAAAAGTACAGAAAATGATTTTTGAAAGTTTTTAATTTTCATTATATATACTTATAAGTTCTGCTTCTTGGGTTGAATATTGTACATTCTGTAATAGTTCAAACTGTTTATAAGATTCGCAAATTTAGTTTTGTTTGGATTATTTCAAGGAAGTTAACATTTAAGTCTCCCAAGAATATCAAAAAGTCCTATGAAAACAACGTGTGAAGCCAAATGTTTTCCACTACTTCGAAAATATATTGGTATTATATTCCAGAGGTCTATAAAACGAGGTAATAATAATTTTCTGTTGGTTTATTGCTAGGTCAATGCTCATCCATTTATGGCATTTTTCGTGTGTCGAACTACATGGGGAATCAAGCAGTTCGTCTGACAAACCCGTGGTATATTTAAAATTCAAATTTTTAAAAAACTTCTCGATTAATCCTGCGTCGCTTGTTGTTGAATCGAAATTGCTAGCCATTTTGCCAATCATCCTGAAACCTAACCAAAACTGGTTTCAGTTAAGCGTTGAAGAAGTCAAGAGGCTGATTGTGGAATCGTCAGCAAGTTAGATTCAACAATAGCCGACGCAGGAGGAATCCAGAAATTTTGTTAATAGTATTACAGTAGGCAGTGGAATCTTCCTTACTTTAATAATAGTAACTAGCTTAACTGAAACTAGTCAAGCACTGAAGAAGCCAGCAGGATGAATGGCGAAACGTTAGCTAGTTCGACTCAACAAAAACCGACGCTGGACGAATCCAGAAGTTTTATAAAAAGTATTACAGTAGCCTGTGAAAGTTTCTTTTAAAAATTAATTAACATTCGTTTCCGTTTTTTGCCATGTTCATTACAGGATGTGTTTGATCTGTGTTTATATTGGATTATGTCTCAAAAATCTGATAGTGTTTATAACTTACCGACATTTTGTTCAGCTGAAATAATGTGTAGCCCGTGCGCGACCAAAATTAGATGGATGATTATAAATCGTAGTTGCGGCCCCGGCCGCACCATGGCCTAAAACAATACAAAATAATAATTTAAAACTTTTTTTAATTAAAACGAACTAAGGAAACAATAGTACCAGTCGTTGCTAAATGTGAAAGGTCAATTTAGCAATGCAAGTTTGTATGTTATATGGTTGTAGTATCGGGAACCATAGGGTCTGCCTGCAAAATGATTCTAGCTTGAATTGTTTCTGAGAAATTCGCCACACATGATCCCATTTTGAAGAAGACTATGATTTTTATTGTTTGTTTTCCATATACACCATAGGTTTTTCAATGTCCTTATGGGCACCATATTGAATAATTTCATTAATATATAGAGCATAAAAATGCTTTTAAATAATATCAGTCATCATCATTCTTAGTGCCACACATGCAAACTTTCATTTACAACGGACATTCGAAAAAACTAAATTCTTAATAATCCTGGTTGACAAATGCTTTCATTGACTTCAGTTACAATTAACATTAACATTAACTGCAGTTAAAATATACAAGTTAATTGGGTACAACGCCTTTCAACTTATTTCAAAATGCTTAGATGTTAAAGTGTTACATTGTGTGCTACGAGAAGCTCTAAGCAGATATACTAAAATACTTACCCTGAAATAAGACAAATTAGATCTTTAGATGTCTGGTTGGCAATTTATTGAAGTATGACTCTTTTCAAAAAGCAGTTACTAAAAGATATAAACCATGCAATGACGAAAGTGAAAATAATCTACTCTTAGTTGTAAGTGGAATTCCAAAGTCTACAGCACATTTTAAGTTTGGTTAAAAACAAATTTGTTTGAATTTTTTTACGTTAATTTTTACGTTACGTTAAAATTTAATTTAATACCAGTTCCGTATATGCGACAATGGACTGTCAAAACTTTTTTTCTCTGTTGAGAGCGATCATGTCTAGTTTGAAAAAAAAAACAAATGTTGCTTTTGTTACAATATGAATGACGACAAATGCATCATGTGATAAATAATGTAATACTATATTATGCATAAATGTGGCAAATGACATTTGAGTCACTAGATAAACGAGAGACTTGGAAAGTTTACCAAACGTGTTGCACATTACACTTTTTCTACGACCATTAGTGTTCGAGTAAATTTTTTCGAAATATCATAACGATAATTAGCTATTTTACAAAAGGGAGTAGAAAAACTTAATACGGTGTACCTTTTTTTGGTATTTTTCTCTGCATTAAAAACTCCAATCGACATGTTTAAAGGTGTGGGCGAATTACAGGTTATTTCGAAATCTTAACTTTTTACATTTTACCAAATGTCTCGAACTGATTTGGTAGCATTAATGTAAAGTAAGTTATTAACATTTTTCTAGTCTCTTTATATTGAATTAAATTTTAGTTAATTGTATTTCCTGAGTTTGCTTATAATGCCGTGGTATTGACGTTATTGGATTATTTTCATGAATAGTGAAGTACTTACAGCAAAACAAATTTATTTATTATTTCTTTTACTTTATTTACCTTTTAATTTAATTATAAAAACGCCTCAGATAAAAAGTAAAAAAAAAAACAAACAAACACTAAAAAATTCCAATAATAATATTCCTTACACATTGTGTCCAATATAAGGATCGGATAGAATGGAGATATCGGAAACCAAGGTGATTAAATTAGGCAAGTTTTATAGAATTTTTTTAGAAACTTAAATTTGCCAGCAAAATGATTCCAGTGAGTGAATCGCTTTTGATAATTTCAATAAAATATAAAAAGTTGGATTTTCTATTATGCCTTTATATCACGATAGAGGTAATATGTCGTTTGGATAGGAAACTAAAATAGCTCCATCAGTTTTTAAATAACATAAAAATAGATTTAGTAGAGAATTTATCTTTTTATTGTTTGTTTAAGTATCCTGTATGTACAATTTTGAAGAAGTGAAGTTGCTAATTGTTTTACTTTTATGGCCATCATTATCTTTATTGATGCGTTCATAAAATAGTAGAAAAAAAATATACATACTTTTATATAACAAGTTTTTACCTAACTAAAATTAATGAAATATAAATGAAAAGCTTGTACATTTATTTTAAACTATTATTACTTTAGTATTTGAAACTTAGCAAGTAAATTTTGATATTGTGAATTCTTATTTTAAAAATAATTAATTAGTTCCAGACTTGTAACTTTTTTCACAAACCACAAGTTGTCCCGTTATAATCTCTTAAATAGTTCCTGAAATTAGATTGGCGCAGCGTTATAGATTTGTAAGCATTGACATATTTTTTGATTTTATGATTAGATTTTTATTGAAGAGACAACGAATATTTTATATATCGTTATTGTTGCACTAAGTTCAAGCATACGGTTGATGAGTACGTTTTTTAGCCTAGCTGAACAATCTAAATTTCACTGTTGTTTTTTTTGTTATTCTGGTGGGTACAGTAAATCGACTGATCTTATTCGTTTGAATCTATTGTTAAAATGTGTCCCAGATTCGCTTCTTTATACGGAGACTTCGCTCGTCTTATACCAACAGCAAAGGTTTTGATAACCGACTTCGGATCTAAAATCGGTAAATTAATTTGCGAAAACCCGAAAATAGCGGATTTGGTTTTTTTGCCGGTAAATACGAAACTATTAATTATTAATTATTCATTTCATTAAATGGTCCGATATCTGGACCTCCTATATCCCCTGATCTATCACCATTGGAGAAAAATGAGGCCTAAGAATTTGTTATCATCTCGAACCTTCAGACAAAGAGTTTTGGATACATTTAGAAACATTAACGAAACTAGACTTGCTAAGGTTGTACGAACGTCACCAATTTCCAAAAATGTCTCAATTCAAATATAATTAGATTTTACATTACATAACTTTCAAATTGTTTTTGTAGCGATTTTGTTTTTCATTTTTATGGCACTTGTAGATATTGTAATTAATAGATATGGTAATTAAATTACCGAAGGCTTTTCTAACCTTATTTTTTAACACATAGTTGGTAATTTGCACAAAATATGACTTATTGTACGTTCATGTTCTATTCAAAATTTGTATGTGTTACTTATTAATGTTATTGTTAAATAAATAAAATTAAAATAAAATATTTAAGAACTAACTATACGAAGTGTGATACATCGTTTGTCTACTGTACTGTGAGACATCACTGAACTTGAAATTTTACGCTATTTTGAAAAATCGAAAAATACAATATGGCGAATATAAGAAAAATAAAAGTTATGGCGGGTTCACAATTGAGACATGTCTACATTCTATCATATTCGTTTTAAAATATGTAAAAGCTTTGGACTTATTAGCGGAAAACGAAATCCGCCATTTTCGGTTTTTCGGAGATATTTGATCTTGATCTTAAAAATAAAATTCGAATGGCAATGTGTTTGCGATAAGAAAGGTAGACGCTAGTAGATATAAGTTTATGGGTTTAGAAATTGCGGATATGGTGCGACATTTAATTAATTCTAGAAAACCAGTTACCTCGTATGACTTAAGTGCTGCTTCGATCAACCGTGTACACAAGGTGTTATTTAAAGTTATACACTAAACTTAAGGGACTATTTGTGGACCAATTTTAAGTGGAACACTTAAAATAAATATTTGTAAAAATGGCCAGTTTTGGTTAGTTATCATTATTATTTAATATCTTATCAGTATTGCTATTATTTAGCACTGCTATCTGCAATAACAATTAAACAATTATACTTCTATATATCTTGCGTCTTAAAGTGAACCCTGATCGGTGCATAATTGGGCACTTTAGAGTAAGACGTAGAAAAAGGATTATAGAATTTTCTTGGCATGTAATGTTTTTTTCTACTCCCGTCTGTAAAATACCTAATTACAAACCTAGCCTAATTACACATCTAGCGTGCGGGAAGCGTCACTTTAACACGTCAGTTTCGCTTCCCACGAATCTCAGCCACTTTGAACATTTCGCGGATTTTACCGCACGGGTTTGGGAGCAATCGTATGTTTTCGCAGATATTTCCCACGCTTTGAATTTTGACGTTTGTCAATTCTGACGGTCATGTCAGTCATGTTTTGCGAAAATATAACCAAAAACTAACGGTCGTAGAAAAAGCATACTATGTAACACGTTCGGTAAACTTTTTAAGTCACTCGTTTATTAAACACTCGCTCCGCTCGTGCCAAATAAACTCGTGATTCAAATGCCGTTTACTGCACTTGTTGCATAATATACTATTTAAGCTTTATTACAAACGTGAAATGAATTTTTATCTTTATTTCTGCAAAATTAAAGCGGGACTTTATAATTTTTACAAATTACCATTTTTGTGTGAACCTTTCACCTAAGATTTTTTCGGGAATAATCTATTAAAGATTTAGTACATACCCGTAGGCAGCACCTTGTATAATTAGTAAGTGATCAATACGCCAAATAAACTTTTTGAAAAGTTTAAAAATAAGGCTCCGCAATTTCTTAGAAAAAAATAACTTACTTTTCCAGATACACTTGTTAGATCAGGCATAGATTTGGCAAAGGTTTTTGACACTATTTAACCAGAGTGAAATCATCATGAGTGAAAAGTTCATGAGCTGCTAGCCGTTAGTCAAATGCCAGAAAAATCTAAAATATGACTTAGCTACATATTTAGACATCGTTTATAGAAGCGTCTTGTTATAACACTGAAACTTCTAACTGATCAACAAATTTGTGTAAGTAGTATTATTACGCACGTGAAGTAATCCAATAAATACAAGGCGAGTTTGACTCCTGGGTTACAACACATTCAGAAGTAACAGAGCGAGTTGTAAATTTATTGACCTGAGGTGGCTTTGTACATGATGAAAATCCATTTAACATAATTATATTAAAACAAAAATTGTTCAGATTTTTACACTTATTTTTTGGTTTCTGTGCCTTTTTCAAATAAAAAATATTGCAATATTCCGACGCCTATAAATATTAACAGGGGTAATTGATTCCTTATTATCGTTCTTTTAGGGTTATAAATTTAAATTTAACAAGGGAGAGTCATTCAAATCATATGGTTTGTTAATCTCCATGGCTTCCAACAAACATTTATTTTATTTTATTTTTAATTTTATGGTGTTTTCAGTTTAAAAAATTTGAATAGATGTTTCGAAACTTTCTTGCTAAGTTCTCCAATGTATTTTATTGTTTCATAAATTTTGAATTGGCTGCTTAATATGGGATTTGTAGAGGTCAGAGTTATTTGAAACTGTTGTCTAGTTGCATTATTAAAGAGGGTTCGTAACCATATAATAAGTAGTCTGTGGATAAAAGAATAAAATTCAGCCATTTTGTGGGTGCAAGGGTGATTTTAGTTATAATATATTACTGTGTCGGTGTGGGAGGGTTTATGGCAAATGGAAAAATCTAATCTGTTTTGTAATTTTGTTGTAGTTATGTCGAGAAAGTTTAAACAATTATCTAGTTCCGTCTCTACGATAAATTTTAAACAGACAGTTTTGTATGAAGTTAATATGATTCGAAAAGGACTGTAGCTGTCTTTCGGTTCTGGTAACAAAAGCAAAAACACCATACACGTATTTATACCACCAAAGAAACCTTTTACTTAAGGGATGTTCTAGTATGATATTTTCCAAATTATCCATAAAAATCTCGGCTAATTTATATTAAAATGGAACACATTAACGATCATAGAAGAGTTATAAAAATAAAAGTTCAGAAATTTGATTTGAGTGGGTCATTGTTGTTAAATTTAAATTTATAACCCTAGAATTATGGTAATTAAGAACCACATGGTATTTGCCGTAAGCCACCAAACTTTCTTATTTCAAATGGAGGGGGTATATTTTTATTCAATTTTTGAATTGCTCATAAAATTATAAGTATTTTTCATGTAAGATACCCGAATTCTGTTTTTACCATAATGACAAAAAATTAAATTATTTAATGATTTCATGAGAAACCAGAATTTAATTTATGAACGAAATAAGTAATGATTTTAAAGAATTTGTAAGCTTAAATAACAATAATACCTATTTAAAAACAAAGAAAAAGGTGCTTATTTAAATAAATACTCAAACTGACGTCCTTCTCTTAGTTGACAATGTCCTAAGATGTTCGTAAGTTCCCGTACAATATTTTGAATCCAGCCTAATTAAAAACTCCCATATTTCTTTTTAACTTACATTTCGTGAATTTAAGTCAATTAGGCAATGTGGTCATTGCGCGACTTCTGACTAACTCTGTATATATAGACGTCGGGAAGTTGTAATATTTTGTATCTGATAATAATAAATAGTTAAATAAATAAGGCTATTACTTCTGACAGTGTGCTAATCCAGGCGTGGAACTTGTGTGCCACTCAGCAGTTATAGGCGCTGTTATAATTAATTTGCTACCAATCAAGTTTATAAATAAAAAAAATATATATAAAGAATTGTACTAATATAACACCTGATACTTGTTTTGGTTAGTTGTTTTCGATAGAAAACCCGCCCATATTGTTAACGTTTCCTGTTTTAATTATTTAATTTGTATGTTTACTTCAAGAGTGTTTCCACTATTTTGAAGTATATAAAAAGAATCACTATGGTAATAAGAATACTTATCAACTTTTGTGTTATCTTGATTTATAAATTAGTGCTGTCGGCAAACTACTTCATAGCTTGATAGCATTGATCTTGTATCTGTTTATATAATGTAAAGTTCAAGATACTGCAATTTATTGAGCAAATCTCATTGTGGAGGGAAAAAATGAAAAAGCTTTGGTTTTCATATTCCAAGCACCAAAGACGGCCGTGTAAGCTGAAGAAGTTATCAATCCTAGTGACGCCTATAGTTAATAACGGATCGTTAAAAGGTTAATTTTTCCATAACGATAGATCGTTGGAAAATGATAACAAGACTGTTATCTAAATAATGAATTGTCGTATTCGATTCTATACATACGCGTTTCCTATTTAACCATACCGAAAACCACTTGTTACCTCTTCTCGCCCGTTGTGTTGCTAAAATCGATAACGCGAAATGTGCGTAGTAAAGTTAGATTTAATTTTTCTTTACTCGTTCAACATCGAACAATTTTTTTGTTGCCGCCTAATATTCGGTATATCCAAAAGTTTTGTTTCTGAAAACGCACTTCAACTTGTTTTTTGTAATATTTTTCACGTTATAAATATGTTGCAAAAAATTTAGAACGATAAAACGAACGAAAAATAAAAATGAGATATTTGTTGTCGGTGACCGATTCGGACAAACAGGTGGGTGTTCGGTATCAAATGTTAACGTTGCCTCAATAAGCATGCAATAGCGGAGGCTCTAAATAGACTCACCAATGAATGAAAAAAGATCTAACTCATCATCAGCATCGCACTTTTTGCCGTTTGTAACAATGTCCGCGACAAAATTGTATGCCACACCGTATGAAGAGGCAGAGGCGAATTCGATATGGTGATCGGCCGCGGCGACGCAGGACGTCGTGGATTCGGTTTGCGAAGGCGTTTGCTACGTAGGCGTCGCGCCGGATCGATTAATTCAAGGGACCAAAAGCTGCTGCGATTAATACCGATTATTATTGTTTTGTCGTCGAAATGATAAATATTTAAGTCGATTTAAAATTATTTTTAGGTGAAAGCTCAATTTAGATTGGTCAAATGTGGATATAGAGTATCCATCAAATTAGGCGCATTAACAATTTCTGTAAACATGTAGTACTAGATATTAAAAAACGCTGAAGTCAATCTAAATCCAAGGCCTGTATTTAAATTAAGCATATCGATATTGCAATCATTATAGTATAAGAATACAGAGTGTCCCACGACATAACTGCCATAGCTTGGGAGTGCTGGGGTAATTTCAAGTTAAAAATGTCAAATAACATATACGCAGGGCGCTATCCTAACTGAGCTACATGCATTTGAAATTTTAGATACCATTTATTGAATTAGTTGCTCCAGTATTATGTTCGGCTGTTAATATTATTATTAAAACGTCTGTGGCTGCGAATCTTATGTATTGTGACAATTAAACTAATATTGCGTGTTTGTTTTCGTGTACTCTTGAAAATACTTTTATTTTTTCGAATGAAGCATACCAACGTTCACTTTGTTCATGGATTGTGTAATGAAAACCATTGAGCAATGCCATCGATGTTTGAGAGAAACAGGCAAGTTTCCGACAGGTACTTCTGAACATCCCATAGGAACTTGCTCAAGAAGAGACGATACTAACGTAATACGATTCTACTAGTGTCCGAAGAATAAGTAATAGACATAAAGTAGGCCGGATGAGAGTATGGAGAACTTTACACAATTTCGGTTTGTACCCGTACCACATCTTATCTGTGCAAGCTTTAAAACCTGCAGAGTACGCTTCAAAACTTGAATTTAGTGGCTATAAGCCTCATTCCGCCGAAATGCAATCAATAACACCAGGAATTCACATTGGTGGGCACTTAAACATCCACGACAAACTCGGGAATCCTATTTTCAAGATAGATTTTCGGTGAATATTTGGTATGGAAATATTAACGACAGCCTTGTTGGTCCGTTTATAATTGAAGAACGTCTCAGGGCCATTCGCTTTTTACGTTTAATTGAAAATGATTTTCTAATATTACTGGTTGGTGTCCTCTTAATGTAAAACAACGAATGTGAATTAAGCACTTTGGTCGACGAGTAACAGAAGTTCTTAATCAATTATACAATCCGGTGGATTGGAAGATATTCAGCAGTTCCTTGGCCAGCAAGGTCACCTGACCTTAAACCCTTAGATAACTTATTAGGAAGGCTGAATACTTTAGTTTAATAACTGGTTGGTAGAACTATGGATGCCGCAGAAACTATTCGTGCTGATTCTGAGACTTTAGTAGAGTTACTACTTCAATTCTAAGAAGAGCTAGACTACGTACACAGCAACTGGGTGGACATTTTCCACAACTAATTCAACAATTAATAAAATACAAATTAATAAAAAGTAAAGGGGTCTACAGGCTGATCTGAATTTAGTGTTGATCGTTGGTAATTTTGTTATAAGTAACTAGTAGCATTTTTTCCACTGATTACGATGATGAAAACAGAAAACAAAATGTGGGGTTTAGGAAAAAAATGACGAAAATGTACTCTTTTTCAATAGACCACCCTGTATATTTTTTACTGTAACGTTCGTAGATTACCAGCATAACAGAAAATGTCGTATGCAGTAAAACGTTATCCAGAATTTCAATAATAATTGGAATGTACCGTTCACAGATCAGTGTGCCATCGTAAAAACATGGACCAACAACGCGAAAACCAATTCTACCAAACATTAAAGCTGAAACGAACTTGTGGACTTCTGGGATGTACTAGCAATAAATTTTCTCTTGTTCATTAATGATGACTGTTTGGACTATAAATTCCCGAATTTGTAATATTTGATTCGTCATTTCACAAAATGTATCGAAAATTATATGTTTTGGGCGGCAAAAGTTAACATACCAATGAAAAAAAAAAGTCTTCTCTGCATTCCCTGACAAAAGCTGAGCTAATCGGAATTTACAAAGGTAAAATTTGTATTTTTTAAAATACTTTGTTCAGTATTAAAGTAAAGGTTAGAGTTTTTGACTATGTCTTGAATAGAATTGTCACGATATGCAGCAAAATATTCCAGAACATCAATTTCTATACGTCTTCAGTTATAATAAAATTTTTTAGTCTCCTTTTTGCAAAAACGTATTCATTTTTCATGTGTAAAAACCATTAACGAATAAGTACAGTAAAATTAATTTAAATAATTGTTAACAATTTATATAATACTAATACTAATACTACGCTAATAGTAAACAAATTAAAACTATTTTCTTTAACAACTAGTTTTCTCTTTGACAGGGCTGTCGTTATTTTGCATTTGTCATTGCTTATCAACCTTCTTTGAGCAAAAAACGTTTTGGCTAAAAGAAGGAGGCGAAAAATTTCTATAATAAATAAAGAAGTGGAAATTGTTATTAGTGTTTCCTATGCTCATATAAAACAATAAAAGGAAAATGGAGTTTTATTTCACAACCATCTAGTCTAGTAGTAGTTATTTTTAATTTTAGGGTAATATTGTATACGACCATTTTTGTTCTTTTGTTGATTTACGAACGTTGGAGTAAAAATATACAAGGTGTTCCATTTAAAAAGAGTACCTCCTCGTTTTTTCCTAAACCCTACATCGTAATCAGTGGAAAAAATGTTAATAGTTTCCTAATTTTACCGAGTTTCTATCTCTACTGATAACAGTTACCGATGATGAATACTTAATTTAGATCAGCAGGTATACAGGGTGTCCGATAAGTAATTGTACATGGCAAAATAGGAGATTCTTTAAAACTATTACGATTTAACAAAAATTACAGGGTGTCAAATTTAAAATTTCATTTTTGATTCGTTTTAAATAAATTCTGAAAGAATCGAGCTTTTTGCACAAAATATGACAAATTTTTTCCCATGAGAAATTCAGTTTCGTGAATAATTTTCTGGCAAATTGTAGAGAGCGGTACGTATGGCACTTTTCGTTCATTTGTTACTTCCTAACTTTTTTGCGCTTTAGTGCATGCAGATTTTTAATGAAGATATTACTTCTTATACCATTTTTACATAAAAAGGTATACCCTTTAAATTTCGCCCCGAGTCGCCGTTTTCCAAAAATTTGGGTTTAAAATTTTTCAGTACATCGTTACTTAACATTTAAAATTTCATTTTTTATGCCATCAATTTTAAAATAACCTAGATAATGCATGTAATTGAACTAATATCGTAGTACAGACCTTAACAGCGTTTTTATTATTATTTATTTTGAGGTTTTTACGACAAGAGACTTCTACGTTAATGGAAACAACTTTATGGAAATAAAAATTTAATTTTAAACTAAAGTAAAATACAAAAACTGTTCTTAAAAAATAATTTCAATTAGGCAATACATTTTCAAAATGATTTTATTCCCTGTGATGCATCTAGGTACACGTTTATTGAAACACTGCCTGATTTTAAATACTTTTTCGTCGTTTCGAAATGATCCAGCGTCATTTTAAATCCTCGACTATGAACTACTTCATACGCCAGTGACTTCATATACCCACAAACATAAAAATCCGTGGGGTTGAAATCTGGATTCCTGGTGTTTGACTTCCACTTGTTCTTCGAGGACATAGAATCAAATTGATTCGATGGTTCCATGAGTCCTAACGTAATTATCAATTATTCCTCATCATGCGTTTATTTTAAATTCCCGTTGGAAATGACGTTCAGTTGTCAAATGCGAATTTTCTACACACGACGCATGCTTATTTTTTAAGTTATAGACACCTCTGCGTGTAAATGTTGCTTTATCTGTAAACAATATTTCATTTAAAAATATTGGGTCGGCGTTTCGTCGGGCCAGACAAAACCCGCAAATTCCAATCTGGCTACCCTCTAAAGGATTTTGCAGAGGAGTAAAGTCATATAGACAAAGCTTTTCTTGGTAAAAAACTCTACAAATTGTAGATTTGCTCACTCCGGTTGCCACTGCCATTCGTCTTGTGCTTATTTCCGGATTTTTAGCTACTTGCACCAAAATTTACTCTGCCAGTTCCGATGTAATCATTTTTGGTCGCCTCATAGAATCCCTCTTGGGGAGGAAGGAACCAGTCTCGCCGGGTCTGTTATTATAATTCTCTTTTCTCTTTACTTTAGTCAAAGCGTACTTTGGAAAATGTTTGATCGTGTCTGTGTTCGTCAGAGCCTACTACTTACTTATTTTACTGTTATTTTAATTATGCTAGTCTAAGACTACTTTCAACTGTTTTGCATGTTCACATGAAACTGTTCAATTAGATGCAACGAAAATTTTAAATGCGAACTTCTCGAGATCGGCGACTTAAAATTAGTTTCGTGTAAAAATTTTAATTATTTCAAGAATTATTCAAAAGATAAAAAATTAAGATACTTTTGGACTAAGGACAGTTATTTTTACCATTTTCTTATGTACCATTAGTTATGGGACACCCCGTATATAGTACCGACGATAAAAAGTTATCATTTAACCGGAATTTAATCCATATGTCGGACAGAAGAAGCTTTCCTAATGTCATTAGGAAAGCAGTTAAAAATATAAACTGAAAGATGCCCCCATATGACAGTAAATTCAGATTTCATTCCTAATGTTGAATTTTAATCAATTTAAAATAAACGCAAAATTTGAGACAGTTCATTTTGTTGTCATGAAGCTGCGTTTTATAAGTTATGCTAGTGCTTAAATAATGCCATAATCATATCAGCAATTCACTATGACAATAAATGGTGAAAAACCTACGTCAGCTGCCGACGGAAAAGCCATGAAGCACGTAGAAAAATATAAATACCAGAACTAGACCAATATTATAAAATAAAAATCAAAATTGAAACTGCGAGCAATCCTTCCTAAGAGTTAAAACATTAATGAAGAAGTCTTGAGAAGC